ACACCGTTCTTCCTGTTCTGTGCCATCATTATCATCATCATCTCTGACACTCTTGAGTCCATTACTACAGTGAGCATTTCAGTCCATCTTGTAGGGGGTCTTCCTTCTTTTTGCTGCATTTACTCCTCTGCAACAACACAAGTCAAAGGCATCGATTCTTCTTCTGTCATCCTTATTCTTTGTCCAGCTCTCTACATTGTCCAGTGTAGTAAGTAATAGAAAGACCATGACCTGAATCAGTCGTACCTTAGGCTTCAAACCTGACATCACTGGTCTTCAGTATTTTGGAGAGGTCCCTCACAGCAGATTTTCTCAATGCAATACATCTCATGATCTCCTGACTGTTGACACCAAGGATGTTGATTATTGTTCTAAGCAAGATGAAATAACTGACAGCTTCAGTTCTTCCTCCATCTATCATGATGTTGCCTATTGGCCTTTATTTTCTTGATTTTGAGATGTAATCTGTACTGTAAGCTGTGGTTCTTGGTGTTCTGCAGCAATCATTTCAAGTCTTCCTCACTTTAGGACAAAAACTTGCATCATCTGCGTAACACATGTTGTTGATGAGTCTTTTGATCCTGATGTCACATTCTTCTTCATAGATCCCAGCTTCAAGAATTATTGGCTCAGCATACAGATTGAATAGGTATGTAGAAAGGATATATCCCTGATGCACATCCTTCCTGATTTTAAACCATACGGTGTTTCCTTGCTCTGTTTGGATAACAGCTTCTTGATAGAAGTATAGATTTTGCATCAGCACAATTAAGTGTTCTGAGATTCCCATACTTCTCAATGTTAGCCATAATTTGTTATGTTCCATGGTTAAGATTAATTCCTTTGAGGAAGCAGACATTTAAACAAGACCTGAATCAAAAGGAAGTAGGCCCAGGAAAGTTAATTACAATATCCAGCAAATTGTTTAAGGAGCTGTAGTGGTGAAACAGGTACACTCTTAGCTACTAAACAAAAGGTTAGCTGTTTGAAAACCATCTAGTAACTCCGGGTGAGAAAAATCTGATGAATTGTCTCTATAAAGATTTCAGAAGAAACAAAACAAAACCCAAATCCATTGCTATAAAATTGTTTCTGACTCATAACATTTCTGCCTAATCTGTCACATAAATTTGCTATGAGTAAAACATCAACTCTAACAATACTAATAGCTAACCACAGATGAACTACTTAGGAACAAATCTAACGAAGACACAAATGACCTACAAAGAAAATTACAAAACATAAGAATAAAGATTACAGAAGTAGAATTGAATAAGGATTAATTTCTTATTCAATTACTATAACAATAAGGATTACAGAAGTGGAATTGTCATTTTCACAATACATTGAACATGGTATATTTTCCCATTTTTCTAGATCTCTTTTTGTTTCCTGTAGTGTTGTTGTTAGGTGTCATCAAGTACGACTCATAGTAACCCTATGAAGAGCAGACCTGAATGTTGTCCTATCTTGTGTCCTATCCTCATCATCTCTAATATTCTTGGACCCATTGCTGCGGTCACTGTGTCAATCCACCTTGTTGAGGGTCTTCCTCTCTTTCACTGACCTTCCAAGCATGATGTCCTTCTCTAAGAAACAAGCCCTTCTGACAACATGCACAAAGTATGTGAGACTAAGCTTTACCATTTTTACCTCCAAAAAGCACTCTGGCTGCACTTTTTCCAAGACACATCTATTTGGATTTTTTGCAATCCGTGAGGTATTCAGTAGTTTTCTGTGTCATTAAGCTTCATCATTGGAAAAAAATCCTTGGTAAAAGACCAAAAAGATAAGTTCCAAGGTGAAACCTGAGTGTAGAGATATTCAATAGTCTTTTTAAGCACCACAACTCAAAGGTGAACCTATACCTTTATCGAGAGGCTGTTGTCTGACAGAGCCAGGGAAAACTATGTGGTTTAAAAATGAGGAAAAGTACAAATCAGGGTTGTATCCTCTCTCTGTACCTATTCAGTCTGTATGCTGAGCAAATCATTTGAGAAGCTGGACTTGAAGAAGAGTGTGATATCAGGATCAGAGGAAGACTCATTAACAAACAACTTGTGTTATGCAGATAACACAGTCTTGCTTGCTGAAAGTGAGGACTTGAAGCACTTGCTGCAGATGATCGGAGACTACAACCTTCAGTATGAATTATATCTCAACATTAAGAAAACAAAAATTCTCACCACTGTACTGATAGGCAGTATTATGTTAAATGGATAAAAAACTGAAACTATCAATGACTTCATCTTACTTAGATCCACAATCAACACCCTCGGTACCAACAGTCAGGAGATTAAGATACATATTTCATTGGAAAAGTCTGCAGTCAGGGACTTTTCCAAATTATTGAGGAGCAGTGGTGTCAGTTTGAGGATTAAGGTGTTCTTGATTCAAGCCATGTTCTTTTCAGTCATTTGTGATGCAGTTAAGTGCTGGACAGTAATTAAGATGGCAGAAGAATTGTGGTGTTGAAGAATGATATCCCATGGACTTCAAAAATAATAAACAGATATATCTTGGAGAAAGTACAGCCAGCATGCTCCTTGGAGGCAAAAATGACAAAGCTTTATCTCATATATTTTGGGCATGTTGTTAGGAAAGGCTAGTCTTTGGAGAAAGACATCATGCTTGGGAAAGTGGAGGTTTAATGAAAGAAAGGAAGACCCACAAAGAGATATATTGACCCAGTAACTGCTGCAGTCTGCTCGAAAATGTCAGAAATGATGAAGATGGCACAGGAAAGCACATGGTTCAGATCTGGTTGTTCATAGGGTTAATGTAAGTTGAACTTGCTTCAACAGCACCTTATGATCAACTCATTTTTGACAAAACCAATTAAATGGTGAAATGACAGCCTCTTTAACAAATAGTGCTGGCAAAATTTGACTTCTATCTGCAGAAAACTGAAGCAAGATCCACACCTCATATCATACACAAAAAACAACTCAAGGTGGATCAGGGACCTAGGAGTAAAACAAAAATTATAAAGATCACCAGAGGAAAAAATGGGGACAAATCTAGAAGCCCTAATCTAGTACATAAACAAGTATAACCAAAAATCTGCAACCAAGAGAGAATGAAATAGATGAATTGCATCTTCTAAAAATGAAGTCCTTGTGTGCATCACAGAACTTCTTCAATAGAGTAAAAAGGAAGCCCATTGACTGGGAAAATATTTGGTAGTGACATATTTGATGAGGCTTATATCTAAAATGTATAGAATACTTCAGCACCTCAACAAGAAAAAAAGACCATAAATCACAAAATGGACAATATACGAATAAATATTTCACCAAAGAACAAAGTCAGATGGCCAACAAACACGTGAAGAAATGGTCCAAATCACTAGCTATTAGAGAGATGGAAATCAAAACAGCAATGAGATATCAACTTACCCTCGCAAAAATAGGAAAGTTCATCAGGACAGCAGACAACAAATGCTGATTAAGCTGTGGAAAGATCAGAAGTCTTTTACACTGCTGGTGGGAATGTAAAATGGTACAACCATTATGGAAGGCAGTCTGGCACTTCCTCCATAAGTTGAAAATAGGAATATTATTTGACTCTCTCGCTACTGGCAATATACCTTAAAGGAATCAGAACTTTGAGCACAAACAGATATATACACATTCATTTTTCTTGCATAATAACTATTCACAATAGCAAAGAATGGAAGCAGCCTAAGGGTCCATCCACAAACAAATGGATAGAAAAACTATGGTACATTAACACAATGGACTATTATGCAACATTGAAAAACAATGAACTTGTAAAACATTACACAACATGGATAAGCCCAGATTATACTGAGTTAAATATCTCAGTCACAAAAGGACAAATACTGCATACGATCACTGTTATAAAAATAGAATGGCTATGGGGAAGGGGAGCAGGAAAAGGATGGCTGGATAATGTCCATTGCACTAGAATGGATGAGAGGAAGGTCAGTCGGAAAGGAACAGATGATTAGACTTGTATGTGGCAGTTAACAATCTGGAATTGCACTGAAGGGATATAGAGGGAAATGTTTATGACTAAATCAATGAAAAAACCAATTTCTTTGGAACCTTTCACTAAAATCACACTAAAGAATAATCTACTCCAGAACATTGAAAAACAGCAAATTGTTTATACTCAGGTAAGAGTGAATCACCTCTTAATATCATGTCTAAAACCAAATGAAATGAAATGTAATACTTTGCTTTTGGTGTGCTGTATAAGTTTAGTAGTAACTTGCACTGAATGAGAAGCCCTTCTCTTTTTTAATAAAAATTAATTTTGCTAATTTTGCTTTAAATTCACTGAGCTGCTTAAAGCATTGAAGGAACTGAACATGAAACAGAATAGGTAGAATAATAATTGTAATGCTGGGGCAGTTTGGCTTTGGTATCTAGATAATATTCTTTTGTGTACATATTTCAGAACCCATTTTTGTTTTTTGTGCATTTATTTTGTTAAATCTGTAAAGTGCTGATGCATAAGTAATAGCAGTACAAATCACTTCAGAATATGTGCTTGGGTGTAGCACATTGAATTGATCAGTAGTGAAAGTCTAGGTTGTGTGAAATGGCTGGTGGTATCATATACTCATCAATAGAAAATAATCTCTATATAGACAACTTTGGAAGCAAGAATGGCATCCACTTCCTAAACAACATGCCTCTGGAAACGCTATTAACTTTGAGAAATGACTATAATTATAGTAAGGTTTCAGGTGTTTTTTCATAGGGTCACTGTGAGTTGTGCTGGATTCGACAGTAATCAACAACAAAACCAAATAGCAAAATTCACCTCAAAATTGTCTAGACTTTTTGATGTGTGCATGAATGACTTAATAACTTGACAAAAATTGCTACTATAATAACATATACTTAAACAAGAGTCTTTTAAGTTATCAAAAGTGTTTTTTTAACTTTATAATATCGTCTATTTTTTTTTCTTTCCTTTTTTATCATCTGTCTTTTCATTTCTTCCCTCCCCTCCCCAAATCTGGCCAGGAAACTTCATGGTGTTATGGTCAACCTGCCGCACAGCTGTGTTCAAATCTGTTACCAACAGGTTCATTAAAAACCTGGCCTGCTCGGGGATTTGTGCCAACCTGGTCTGCGTGCCCTTTGACATCATCCTCAGTACCAGCCCTCACTGCTGCTGGTGGATCTACACTGTGCTCGTCTGCAAAGTCGTCAAATTTCTGCACAAAGTCTTCTGTTCTGTGACTATCCTCAGTTTCCCTGCCATTGCATTGGACAGGTGAGATCAAGTAGCTGAGGGTTCTGCTTTTTTTTCTTGCTTGCTTTCTTTCTTAAGTGCATTGAAATTATTTGTATCATGAAGCACATGGTGAATCGTCAATGCCTTATCCATCAGTTTTTAGTCAGTTTATGCCCAGGCAAGAGAATAAATGCCTGAAACACAGTCTTCACAAAAGACAAGTTGTTGTAACATCAGTCACAGAAAAAGGAACACCTGCAAAAGACCTGGGCCTGAGGGGTGGAGGAATTACCTCATGTAGATGCTGGGGATAAGCTACCAGATCATGATGCAGTTTCTGTTTGCTTGGAGTTGGTGGCATGTGCCTTGCAATTCACAGTAGAGTGCTCGTCTGATTTGATAACTGCAGTTAGGGCTTTTTGATGCAAGATGAAAACTTTTCTAGAAGAAGAAGGGAACAATTTAGTGATTATTTAATGATTCAACAGTCCGGTTGGAGCTGACATGATGACACCAGAATTCCTCTGGAGGATTTCTTTCCAAAGCCCCACTTTGTGATGGTTGTTTCTTCCTTAAAGAATGTTCACTTGGAAGTTATATATCCTAGCTACTTCATGTTTATGCACACATGCGCTCTCTCTCTCTCTCTCTCTCTCTCTCACACACACACACACACACACACACACACACACGGGCTGCTAGAAGAATGAACAAATATGTCTTGTACAGCCGGAAGGCTTCTTAGAGGAGAGGAAAGCGGCACATACTTTGGACACGGTAACAAGAGGGACTAGTTTTTGGAGAAGGGCATCCTATGTGGTAAAGTAGAAGGTCAATGAAAAAGAACCTTAACAAGATGACACTGTGGCTGAGTCAGTGAGCTCCGAGAGAGATAACGGATTGTGACAGGACCATGCAGTGTTTTGTTTTCTTTTGTTGTTCACAGAGTCATGGTAAGTTGGAACCCACTCAGTGGCACCCAGCAACAGTAATTTGAAAGGGTGATTGGTGGCCACATCTGCTGGGCACGTTTGGACAGCCAATCTGTAGGTTAACAGTGGAGCACAAACTGTTTTCATCAGCTAGGGATCTGGACTAATTGGACAAGTTATATAAACATTCGCTTCTTTCTCTCTCAGCTTTCTTTCTAATTAGCACATTCTTCCCTAGACATTTTGATGCCTGCCACCAGTTTACCATCAGTTCTTATTAGGAAGAAGCCTGATGAAAGGCACTAGAAAGCAGTGTCCCACTTGAACAGTGAGTCAGGCAGTAGAGTGAGGGGGAATGTAGCATATGGGAGGGCTGCCATTCAGTAGATCAGCTAATTGCTACTTAGTGGATATCTAGACCCCAGTAGGCAGGGCTTTATAATTTTTGGCAGAGATTGTTGTAATTTTTGGCAGAGATTTTGGAGATCCAAAATTTTATCATCTTTAAATATTGGCAATTTTATTAAAAAGATTATGAAGACTAATTAAATCACTTCAGCAGGTGGGTTATAGCATGCCAGTTTGCCTTCTTCACAATGGCTTTGTGTGTGGCTTCCATTGCTCAGTAAGAGGTCTCTGGGTAGCTTCTAGGTGCCTCTGCATAACACTGCAACAAAACAGTGAAAGGTCAAGGTCCCTTTCCTTCAGTATACAGACCCAATCTATGTTAAAGGCTGCTGTCCTTGAAAGTTCCCTCTCTATCGCTCATTCTAATGTATCTACAGTTTTACATTGTAGACGTTCCTTTTATGATTCCCCCCCCCCTTTAAACAGATTTTTGTAAGAATCTGTTGTTACTGTTGTTAGGTGCCATCAAGTTGAGTGTGACCCTAGCCCTGTGAGCAACAGATCTGAACCCTGTCCTATCCTGTGCCATCCTCACACTTTCTTACGCACTTGAGCCCTGCAGTCACTGTGTCGCTCCAGCTCATGAGGGTCTTCCTTTCCTTCACCTACCCTCCACTTTTCCCTCTCCAAAGAATAGCACCTCCTAGCAATATGACCAAGGTATATGAGATGAAGTTTTATCATCTTTGCCTCCAAGGAGCACTCTGGCTGCCCTTTCTCCAAGACATTTTTGTTTGTTCTTTGGGAGTCCATTAAGTACTCTTTTCCAATGCCACAGCTCAAAGGCATCTATTCTTCTTCTGTAATCCTTATTCATTGTCCAGCTCTCAGCAGAATAGCAAGTGATTGAAAAGCCCATGGCCTGAATCAGGTACACCTTGGTTTTCAAATTGACATCCTTGCTGCTCAGTAATTTGGAGAGGCCCTGACTGTAGACTTTCCCAGTGCAGTGTGTCTCCTGATTTCCTGACAGCTAGTATAATTTAGATACCATCACCTTCATGTATTTTAAATGTACAATTTAATGAATTTTAGCATACTTACATAGTTACACACATTTCGGTCACATTAAAAAGAAATATTTCCCATCTTACTCCTAATCATGCTACCAAAAATAAACCAGTTGCTATTGGGCAGATTCTAGCACATGGTGACCCCATGTTTGCAGAGCAGAGAGTTTGCCAGGTCTGTATTTTGAGGCATTTCATTCATAGAGTTCAAACCTCTAACCTTTGTGTGGTAGCTGAACGCTGCCCGGGACACCTATCTGAGCTACCAGGGACACCTAGCTCTAGACAACTATTAATCTACTTACTACTTCCATACTTTTGCTTTTAAAAAGATATTTCATAGAAAGAGCATCACATAATATGTGCTCTGGCTTCTGTCACTGAAACCAGTGTGTTTGCAGTTCATCCATTCATCAGCACTTGTTGTTAGGCGCCGTCGAGTCAAGCATGACTCATAGTGACCCTATGAACAGCAGATCTGAACCCCGTCCTATCCTGTTCCATCTTCACACTTCCTGACACACTAGAGCCCATTCATGCTGTCACCATGTCAATCCACCTGGTTGAGGGTCTTCCTCTCCTTCGCCAACTCTCCACCCTTCCAAGTATCATGTCCCACTCCAAGGAATAGCCCCTTCTAGCAACATGCCCAAAGTATGTGCGGTGAAACCTCAGCATCCTTGCCTCCAAAAAGCACTCTGGCTGCACCTTCTGCCAGACATATATATTTGTTCTTTTGGCCGTCAATGGGATGTTCATGTCTCTCCTCCAACACCACAACTCAAAGGCATCAGTTATTCCTCTGTAATCCGTATTCAGGGATTCCATACCTTTTCAACCTATATGCAGAACATATTATCCGGGAGGCTGGGCTCTATGAGGAGAAGTGTGGGGTCAAGATTGGTGGACGATTTATCAACAATCTGCATTATGCGGATGACACAACCCTGCTTGCTGAAACTGAGGAGGACCTGAAGTGCCTGCTGCAGAGTGTCAAGGACTGCAGCCTCCAATATGGATTGACAAAGATTCTCACCACTGGACCAATTGGCAGCATCAGGATGGATGGTGAAGAGATTGAGATCATACACAGCTTTAGCTTGCTTGGCTCCATAGTCAACAATTTTGGCACCAGCAGCCAGGAAATTAAAAGGCGAATTGCCATGGGAAAGTCTGCTGTTAGGGACCTCTCCAAAGTGCTGAAGAGCAGTGGTGTCTCTCTGGAGACTAAGGTGCGTCTGATACAGGCCATGGTCTTCGCAATCACCTGTTATGCATCAGAGAGTTGGACAATGACCAAGGAGGATAGAAGGAGAATTGATGCCTTTGAGCTGTGGTGCTGGAGAAGAGTATTGAGAATACCATGGACTGCTAGGAAAACAAACAGATTTGTCCTAGAGAGGGTTAAACCGGGTGGCTCCTTGGAGGCAAGGATTCTGAGGCTCCGGCTCCTTGGAGGCAAGGATTCTGAGGCTCCGTCTAACTTACTTTGGACATGTTGTGAGGAGAGACTGGTCCTTAGAGAGGGACATCATGCTTGGGAGGGTAGAGGGACGGCGCAGGAGAGGAAGGCCCTCTATGAGGTGGATTGATTCAGTGACTGGGATAATTGGAATGGGAGTGTCAGAGACAGTGCGATTGGCACAGGACAGGGCGGAGTTTAGGGCTGTTGTACATAGGGTCGCTATGAGTCGCAGGCGACTCGACGGCACATAACAACAACAACAACAACAACAACAACAAATCCCTATTCATTGTCTGGCTCCCAGATACATAGTAAGTGATCAGAAAGACCTTTGCCTGAAGCAGAGGCACCTTAGCGTCACATCATTGCTCCTCTATAGTTTGGAGAGGTCCCTAACTTTAGACTTTTCCAATGCAATTAATATTTAGTGTTTGTTTCAAAACAGCAAATAATAATGCCACATTTTGATTATCCATATATGAGCTGACAGACAATTTCCACCCTCACCATCCACCTTTTGGCGGTTGTGAATAATGCTGTTATGAATCCTGGAAGTCTTGTAATGGGATTCACCATGAATGAGAACACATTATTCTGAACATTTTGCTGTTATACCTGGAAACAAAATTGCACCCTTGGCCCTTGGTCTCAGACAAGAAACTATACAAACAATTAAAAAAACCACTTTGTTTTCTTTCCACCAGAAAGCTACTGTGTTTTGAACATCATTGGGGGGGGGGGAATACAAACAAGCCTTTTTAGTAGAAGAACAAGGCTAGTCATCCTGAGATTCAAATTACTTGCCAGTGTCTGCCTATGAAGAATGAGGAAGGGCAGTCGTGTGGTAACCTTCTTCCTGTCACTCCTTTTTCTGATAGGTATTTTATGGCACCACGTGGACACTTTAATAGGGAGGCCACTGGCACCTCTTGCACTAGAGATGCATAACACTGCCAGAATTCTTTCTCATGAGCCTTTTGCTTGTGTTACAGTCACAAATCAATGGAAGCCCAAGTTTGTTACATGTCAGTGGACAAATGGACCCCTGGGCATGTGCTTCTGTGATGGTTCCAGGCCATTAGCTCATTGTGCTTATACAACTGCTTTTAGAAAAGTATATGAGCAGGGGAAAGGATTGAAAGCATGAATAACTCATATTTCTCTTTCTTTTTTCCCCCTCCCAGAAAGAGATCTAGAACACATTTCACCGTGTCTCATCCATCCCTGATCATCCATGGTCACTGCTCTACTTGCACAGTGTCTCCCTCAGCCTGGAATACTGTCCCCTAGCTTGTCCCCTGCCAAACTCACCACCGTCCAGCCTTCTCTCTGATCTTTCCCCAGGTAGCTCTAGATGTGTCCTCTCCTGAGCCTGCTTTGTACTTATTGCCAAGAGAGCCATCATCTCTTTGTTGGATGCTTGCTTGCATGTCTTTTTACCCCTTGAGCTTAACTCTTGCGATGCGTCTTTCCCCTTTCCATTTTTGTAACCCTGTGCATGACAGGTAGGTCGTGCTTAGAAATACATGTGACAGGAAGGCCTATACTCGTCCCTGACCCTGTGAGGGAAGGAATGCTAGCAGGGTTGGCAAGTCGACTCCAGCACTAGCTAACTGAAGACCTGTAGACTGAGCGAATGTGAAGATTCTCCTTCATATCTCAGATGTCTAGGGGCTGAAAATTTACAGTTGTGGTTCCTGCAAGTTGTTAATGACAGTAAAAACAAAGTGCTTTTAGAATTCCGTTTAGGTGGCTATAGAATAAATTAAAATAAATTTGGGGAGAAAAAAGTTTTATTTTAATAAAAATTTTATGTGCAAGCATTTTAGACCTATTGATTGGTGTTGAATTTAATGAGTGATTATCATTTAACAATGACTGTTAAATAGGCATACTTTCTGTTAGCCATACTGATTTGTAAAAGGCCTTGCAAGAGTTCATTCTTCATATGGGGTTCTTCTGCCCTGAGCAGTTTTGATTGCTAATGGTTTCTACTGCAGAGACTATGATAGGGGTCTGCTTTGAATATGTATGTGATTTTATTTTTCCTTTTTGTGGCTTTGAAAATGACCCTAAAGTGTCCAATGCCCATGATACCCACCCTATCTAATAGCCCTTTTGCCTTAACTTGCAAAGTAGATGTCTTCCATGATTTATATTGATGGCAGTCTTTGGCATGTAGTCTTTGGGCAAGAATTGCCATCAAGTTTTGGAACCATCTCATAGGTAGCTCTCCAGTGGGTTTTCAGAGCCCGTAAATCACATGGGAAGAGATTACCTATCTCCCCTCCTTGGAGCAGATAGTGGCTTTGAACTGCCTGCCTTTGGATTGATAGTGCAACTCCCTAGCCTCTGTGCTACCAAATCTCCCAGTCTTGTGCATAACACCTGGGGACCTTTTTGGTATTGTATTAAAAAAAAATGATACCCTACCTGTTACTGTTGAGCCCATTCTGACTCAGTGACCTCGGAAGACAGAGTGGACCTGCTCTCTGGGATTTCCAAGGCTGTAAATCTTTAGGAAAGCAGACTGACACATCTTTCTCCTGTAGAGTGTCTGGTGAGTTTGAACCACCAACCTCCCCTTTAATTTAAAGAATATTTTCTGCTGTGAACTGAGTTTTGTTTGTCTACTTTTCAGATACTACTCAGTCCTCTACCCCCTGGAGAGAAAAATCTCTGATGCCAAGTCCCGTGAACTGGTGATGTACATCTGGGCCCACGCAGTGGTGGCCAGCATCCCAGTGTTTGCTGTGACCAATGTGGCTGACATCTACGCCATGTCCACCTGCAGTGAAGCCTGGAGCTACTCCTTGGGCCACCTGGTGTATGTGCTCATTTATAACATCACCACTGTCATTGTGCCTGTGGCCGTGGTGTTCCTCTTCTTGATACTGATCCGCCGGGCCCTGAGTGCCAGCCAGAAGAAGAAGGCCATCATAGCGGCGCTCCGGACCCCACAGAACACCATCTCCATCCCTTATGCCTCCCAGCGCGAGGCCGAGCTACACGCCACCCTGCTCTCCATGGTGATGGTCTTCATCCTATGCAGTGTGCCCTATGCCACCCTCGTCGTCTACCAGACTGTGCTCAACGTTCCCGACACCTCTGTCTTCTTGCTGCTCACTGCAATTTGGCTTCCCAAAGTCTCCCTGCTGGCGAACCCACTGCTCTTCCTTACTGTGAACAAATCTGTCCGCAAGTGCTTGGTCGGGACCTTGGTGCAGCTGCACCACCGGTACAGTCGCCGGAACGTGGTGAGTACCGGGAGCGGGGTGGCTGACGCCAGCCTGGAACCCAGCATGCGCTCCGGCAGCCAGCTCCTGGAGATGTTCCACATTGGGCAGCAGCAGATTTTCCAGCCCACAGAGGATGAAGAGGAGAGTGAAGCCAAGTACATTGACTCGGCCGAACTCCGGGCCAAGGAGATGCTTTCTACCTGCCTGGAGGCAGAGCAGAGGTCGCATCTGGTACCCTCGGCCCCACCGCTGGGCACAGTGAACTCCACATCCCAGGTGGTACCAGCAGCCCCTGTGGAGTCCGAGACCGTCCCTGACAAATATTCCTTACATTTTGGCTTTGGGCCTTTTGAGTTGCCTCCTCAGTGGCTCTCAGAGACCCGGAACAGCAAGAAGCGGCTGCTCCCACCCTTGGGTAACACCCCAGAAGAGCTGATCCAGACAAAGATGCCGAAAGTTGGCAGGGTAGAGCGGAAGATGAGCAGAAACAATAAAGTGAGCATTTTCCCCAAGGTGGACTCCTAGTGAGGAAGTTGCTTACCTTCCCGTCTCTCTGGTGGTTAGATGTGTATGTCTCCTTCCAACCTAGTAGGGGTTGACTCCTGTGTGGGCCACATGCTTTTGAATGAAAGGAAAATATATGTGAAATAAAATGTCCTCTTTATTGAGGGAGTATATATGTATTCGTGTATTTATGTCAGTGGTCTATGTCCTGTGGTTGTGTGTATTTCTGTCAGTGATGTCTGTCCTTTGTAATGTCTGTGTTCCTCTAGTGGAGATGAAGCTGGGGGTGGGGTTTAGAACAGACCCCCCGAGCAAGTTAGCCATGCACATTACCCGGGACTCTTCATTTCCCTGGGCCCAGCCAAGAACACAAGCTCAGCAGTAGCAAAGGCACTTAAGGAAGCCCAAGATAATTGTGGAGTGATGTGGCCACGAAATAACGTACAAGAAAACATTAGCACATTTTATAATTGCTCTGACACTTTTTCTCTGGAAGACTCATACGTAGGACTGACAATCCCTCATGGTGCCTTTAATTTCTTTTACTGGGATGTAAGTAAAGAATGACTATTTCATTCCTATTGACAGGCTGAGGAAGAAAAGGGAGATATATTGCCCTCGAGTATTTTGTCATCCTACCGTCGCCAAGCCATCAGAAAAGTAGTTTTGTGCCCCTCCTTTAGACATGATACCCTTCTTTCTGAAATTTAGTTTTCTCACTAAAGAGAGAAGCTTAGTGGTGGAGAAGGACTGAGGAATGCCACAATACTAGTCTTTCTTCTCAGGTGAAAGATGCTACAAAAAAATCAGCGTGAGAAAATCAAAGCTTTTGAAATTAAAAGGTAATTGAAATGCCAGGTTAGTGTAAACTGGGTCCTCTGGAGGCACCAAGGTAAAAAGACATCATTAGGAAAGAAGATTCTGCCCACCAGTCTGAAAAGACAGTGGCAAAGCCAGGTCTGTTCCGATGAGGACTCCAGGACCCAGGCGTGGCCAGCGTCGTTTTCAGTCAGCTATGGTTCTTTCATTTTGGACAAGAAGGAGGAACAGAGCAGGGAGAATTAACCTGCTAGTTATTGCTTGGGATGAGCTCTTTGCTGCTGCTTTCCCAATGAAGTTTTAGTAGTAGCCAGAGTGAGTAGAAGAGGGAGGACCTTGTCCTCATCTGACTAGTCCCCTGGTGGTTCTCACAAGTAATTCAAGACTATTTCAGGGGTGGGTGAATTTTACCAAGTTCAGTTCAAACCACAGATAACACTTCACTGTTAATGAGACCAAGTCAAATGCCAGTTCTACTCGTTTCTCTGGGTGTTTTGTTTTTGTTAATAATTCTTAGGGGCATCTCTGGTGTCTTGAGCAAGCTTGAAAGGCCATTGATTATTTTCACCAGCAAACAGTCACATCCCAAAGGCAATGGTTCTCACAAAGAGCTTGGACTGTGTATAGGGAGCTTTCCCTTCTTTTCTTCTCTTGGGTATAGTATCTTGTGATTCTGAATGTGAACCCACAAACCTTTCCCTGTAGAGGGAGCACGCTTTCGTCTGTGTTTTGTCTCCTTGCAGTGTTGTTTGTTCACAGCAGAGACAGGGGCCAGCCACACCCTCACCTGTGACTGCCCTGCCACCAGGACCCTTTGTGCATGCCACATGTAACACCTGGCCCTGGCAGTTAATGTTGTGGTCCTTTAAGCGTACCTGTGGAAATCTTCACAATTGTTGGGTTTTTATTATCACTCCTATACCTTTTGTTTAATGCATGTGCATTGTGTTGCATACTGCCCTTCATTTACATTTTATTTTGTTCGTTTATGATGTGGGAGATTTTTTTCTTCTTTTTCAATCATCTCACCAACAACTACTTTTGTGAAAGTGTGTCAGCCAGCTACTTCATGCCTCATGCCCTAGTATCCCCCTTTTAGATAGCCAATTGCTGATTTGCATATCCTTATCAAGCCAGTACTCTGAGGAAACAAGCATGTCCCTTTTGCTGAAGGATCCTCTGTTCAACTTGGCACCTTTGAGCATCTTCACCCATAAGTGTCATAAAGTCCAGAGCAAGCTATCATGTTGCAGCAATCCACCCTAGGGTGAGGCAAGGGTTATCTTTTATTCATCTGGTTGGGTTCTGGTCACCTCAGCCCCAGCCATCTGTGGCTAGCTTTAGACTGGTCATCAGCTGCAAGCTTAGGAGTCCATACTTGTCTCTGAAGTACAGACCTGTTGGTCTCCCCACTCAGCCCTAGCCCCCACATGGGGCTAAGTAGAGTCAGCAGGGCCTAAAGTTGACAATCCTCCCTGCTCATCCATACATCTGTGTATGCTCAGTGGGCAGCACTAAAGGACATGTCCAAGCTCAGCCCGTTCCTTCACTGTGGTACACCTCCCACTTCCACTCTGTGGGTCCAAGGGATCTATATGAGTGAGTGTATTCCAGCCTCAAGTCTTGCAGGTGGGGACTGATGTGCACCAACTGTACTCTGCCTCAGAGGACAAACGTCTTGTTCCAGTTCCAAAAAAAGAGAGCCTCTTCCTTCTCTCTCCCTCCCTATTGCCTTTCCTCACTACCCCTACTTTAAATATGAAACCCAGCAGTCCAATGTGGGTCCACAAATCCATTGCAATGCAAATCTCCTCAGACTACTGGGGGTGGGGGGGGACTCAGTCTTTCCCCTTGACCATGTCCCAAACCCCACTACCAGATTCTACTTTTAGCAAGCTTGTCTCCAGGGCAGAACCATTTCTTTTAGTACTGACCCCAGGTGGAATCACACACTTTCTAAATCTACAATATCCACTGTTCATGTATATAATACATATTTAACCCCCCTCCACTTTTAAAAAAAATTGAGTTGCATATAACCACCCTTATACACTGCACTTTATTCATGTACATTGTGCCCCATACAATCCCTCATACACATTGTACCTGCACTGCAATCCCAAAGGCACTTGGTTCAAATCTACCAGCTGCTCCAAATCTGAGAAAGATGCATGATTTCCTCCCGTGCAATTAACTGCCTTTGAAAATCTGCTGGAGGATCAGCTATGGGTCAGTTCTGACTCAAGGGTACACAACAATAACAACAACAAACACCTATCCATGTCTTTTATCATACTGTTCCCCCACAATTTTATCAAGGGGAAAATGAAACCATCAGGCAGTTGTGTCTGTGTGAGAAGAACCTGTCCAGTGTAGCCATTTTGGTGTTATTCCAGTCATATATATGTATAACTTCATAAATTCTGATGAGGTATATTTCTTATGTATGTTTGAAGCAGATGATCGCCTTCTAACAGGTCATTGTCAGATGTATTTCTATACTCTTTGAAGAATAACATTTTAATAAAAAATGCAATTTCTGAACTTAAAAAGAAAGTTGTATGTGGTATATTTCTTCTTCCTCTTTCTTTGAAGTGGTATACTCTTTCTTCATGTGATTTCAAAAGAAAGGTATTACTTCCCCCCCCCATAAATACAAATACCACATTGATTGTACTTTCCTCCATAAATACAGATGCAGCATTGTACATTTTCTTCATATATACAGATACAACAGTGTTACAACTGAAAGAAAATTAATCACCAATAGAGAACATAGAACATTTGAGTAATTGGTATAGACTGAGTTGGTGGATGGATTATTTGGGTGTCTGGGTGGAGTACACAGTAGAGGAACGGCAGCTGTCCTCCATTCACGATGTGGATGGGCCACAGTGGTGGCTATTGTTATGCACCACTGGGTGGAAACTGACTCAGAGCTGACTCTGACCATTGTGCCATTTTGGAGGTTATAAATAGCAAGGGAGGAGATTGCCCATCTTTCTTCCCACAGAGCAGCTGGTGAATTTGATTTGTGTACCTTTGGGTTGACAGCACAACTGCTTACCACTAGGCCACCAACAGTCCCTATTGTGTGTGGTTAGAGTTGTGGACTTTGATTCCTGGCTTCACCACTGGACAAAGAAGCAGGTGGGACAATCTTCTTGTACGTCAGTTCCCTTTTTCTAAAATGGGGAGCCAATAGAAACTTGCTCCAGCTCACATACTTTGCCTCTGATTTTAGTCATATCTGCAGTGGGCAGTCTTGGGATGCTTTCACTCACTTCCTCTGAGAGCAGTCAAGATCTAGCTTGAGGGGGGAAAAACATCATTCACTGCTCCAGCTCAAGGAGCTATGGTGGCACAATGGTTAAGCACTCTGCTGCCAGCTGAAAGACTGACTGGTGGTTCAAAGCTACGCAACAGGAGAAAGACGTAGACGTTTGTGTCCATAGTTTTACAGCCTTGAAAGCAATTGTACGCTGTCCTACAGGGCTGATGTAAGGTAGAGTTAAATTGGCTCAATGGCAACAAGAATGGGTTCCATCTCCAGTCTGGCTATTGCTGAAAACTTGACTGTCATCCCAGTCAAGCTACAACACCTTGATCTGGGGTTGATAGATGAGGTGAGCACAACTCAGAGTGACCTTCTGAACAACATATCTAAACCATGTCCTATCCCGTGTTATCTTCCTCATCTCTACAGACTTGAGCCCATTTCTGCTTTCACTGTGTCAACCTATATTGTTGAGGCTCTTTTTCTCTTTTGCTGACCCCTCACTTTTCCAAGCATAATGTCCCTTTCTAAGGAATAACCTCTTCTAGAAACATGCTCAAAGTATGTGAGATGAAGCTTTGTCATACTTTGCCTCCAAGAAGCATTCTGGCTGCACTTTCTCCAAGACATTATGTGGCAGTCTGTGTGATGATCAATATTATTCTCTAACACCCCCAGCTGAACGGTATAAATTATTATGTCATCCTTATTCATTGCCCAGATTTCAGATGCATACCAAGTTACTGAAATGACCATGGCCTATATCAGTCTTCAAATTGTCAACATTGCTCTCCAAAATTCCATAGCATTTTGGAGTCGACTTTTGACAGCAGACTTTCCCAGTGGAATATGTCTCCTGACCTCGTTTCAAGGATGTTGATTGTGGATCCAAGAAAGATGAGATTGTTTACAACTTCAATCCTTTTCCCATCTATCATATTGTTGCTTATCAGTTCAGTAGTGAGAATTGCTGTCGTCTTGATGTTGAGATGCAATCCATATTGAAGGCTGTCGTCTTTGATCTTCTGCATCAAGAGTTTTAGCTCTCACTTTTCAGTAACCAAGGTAGTATCATCTAAGAGGAGGTTACAGGTGGAAGCTGAGGGAGTTGGAAGAA